GTTTTCTGTAACATCCTGTTGGGCCACACTTGTACGCATTAAGATGCAAATATGGAACAAAATGTTGTCACATATTACAAGAGATACACTGAGTGAATGTTGTTTTATGACATAGTTAGAAATTCGCCAGCTAAACCAGCTCTATTCCGGCACATATTTGAGTCGGGAATCAGACAGACCTGTGTTTAAATAGAGGGGAAACGATTCATTTCGTTGGGATACAAGGTCACACGACAATTCAGATTAACTATTTTAACAAGCCAACTGTCAATTGTTAGCTCTCAGGACAAGTATGCGAAACAATAAGCCGTATTATAAAAATCTACGAAAAGTTTAGGATTCATCTGCAGTTGCCTTAAAAGATTCCTTGCTGAGAGTTTTACTTTAGAATATTACCCTTAGGCGTAGAATGGTCGAGTGTAATTTTGCATTTTAGCTATTCTTAAAGCTGAGAGTACAATTGAAGCCAGGAACAGCTATTAACTCTGTTATTGATTTATCAGTTACAGATTCAGATTTATCAAACGAATTTGAATGGTACGTCGACGAAGACCTCTGTGGAAGTTACCATTTCCCAACGATTATAAAACCCTTCACCCCTTTATATGTTCCTTCTTCAACAAGATGGGACTTTACTGGGGCCAAATGACATTTGTTTGTTTGTTGTTTTACGCCGCACTCAGCAATATTCCAGCTATATTACGGCGGTCTGTAAATAATCGAGTCTGGACCAGACAATCCAGTGATTGACATCATGAGCATCGATCCACGCAATTGGGACCAATGACATGCATTAACGACATTTGTTTGAAATACTTACATAGGACAAATTAAAACCTGATCTGTTTCTTGACGCAACTGACCCTCTAAAATTATTTTCTGATCAACTAAACAAAATAGCTGATGAATGTATACCTAGGTCCTCTGCAAATCAACACATCCGTAAACCATCGTCTCACACTTACAGCAAACAAGCTAGGAAGGCATGGGAAATGATTGATTTGTTTTGTACAAATATTCAATGTGGTTTCCGTAAACCCAGTAGTACAAGTGATCATTTAGTCCGTTCAGAATCATTTGTTAAAATGCCACAATAAATAAACAGCATGTGGTGTCCATCTTTTTCGATCTAGAAAATGCCCACGACACTACATAGAAACATGGCCTTTTGAAAGATATACAAGATTTCAGATTGAGAGGCTGTTTGCCTCAATTCATATCCAAGTTCTTAACTGACAGGCAATTTCAGATCCGCGTGGGTTCAACCCTGTCTGATCATTATAATCAGGATCAGGGTGTCATGATTTAATTGACGGATCAATTTTGTGGATGATTTTAACATTTGTTGTCATGGTAAAAAAATGCATACTATTGAAAGGCAACTGCAATTATATTTATATAATATTCTTAAATGGTCTCTTGAAAATGGTGTTTAAGTTTTCCTCAACTAAACCCAACTGCGTTCATTTTTTGTAAAAAATACAAGCTATCAAAATACCCTGATTTAGTTTTAGATGGAACTCTATCAAAGTTGTAAAAGAGACAAATTTCTTCGGTATTATTTTTTGCCATCTCTTGACCTTTCTACCGCACATAAATTAAGACTAAATGTCTGAAGGCACTACATTTATTCAAAGTAGTTTCAAATTACCGAATGGGGAGGAGATCAGGATAGTCAGAGGTGGATCTAACATTAGTGAGTGAGTGAGTCTGGTTTTACGCTGCTTTTAGAAATATTCAAGCAATATCACGGCGGGGGACACCAGAAATGGGCTTCACACATTGTACCCATGTCGGGAATCGAACCCGGGCCTTCGGCGCCACGAGCGAACGCTTTAACCACTAGGCTACCCGACCGCCCCGGATCCAACATTAACTAAATTGAAGAGATTCGGCACAAATAAACTTATTTATCAACAAAAATATAATAAATTAAGGAACAAATATGATATTGACAAATCTATATTTACAGATGGATCCAAGGATGGTGAAGTAGCAGCCAACGCCACCATCACTGGGGTCCAGGACTATATCTTCAAGACTACCAGATAACTGTACCATTTTTACGGCCGAATCCAAGGCCATATTAACAGCATTTGTGTACAAATATACAAAGTAAACAATCCAGACATAAGCAATTTGTCATATTTTCAGACTCTCATTCTTGACTTCGGGCAATTAAAAATCAGTCTTGTAAACATCCACAGTTGACGACAGACCAAGGTCAGGAAGACCAAGGGTGACAACCCAAGCACAAGATCGATACATCCGGCTGTGACACCTCCGAGACCGCACTACCACAGCCACGTCTACAACCACACAGATCCCTGGGGTACGCAGGATATCAGATTAAACGGTACGCAACAGACTGAGGGAGGCTGGACTTTTTGCATTGAAGACCTGTTCGACGTCATGTATTGACCCCACGTCATCTGGCGGACCGTCTGCTTTGATGCCAACAGAGGGTTAGATGGGCACGTGCACGGTGGAGAAATGTACTGTTTACTGACCAGTCCCGTTTCCTACACACACGTGCTGATGGACGCGCACGTGTCTACAGACGTCGGGCTGAACGTTACGCCCCTAACTGTGTGCAGCAGGTTGGCCCAATTGGCGGCGGGAGTGTCATGGTATGGGCCGGAATTCATCACGGTAGTAGGACACCTCTCGTGCATGTGGCAGGTGCATTGACAGGTGTGCGTTACAGAGACTTGATCCTACAACCTTACGTTCTTCCTCACATCAACGTTCATGGCGGACAGTTCCAGCAGGACAACGCTCGATCGCATATTGCATGTGTTTGTCAGGACTTCTTACAGCCCAACAACATCCAGACTTTACCTGGGTCAGCCCGGTCACCAGATTTGTCCCCGATTGAGCATCTGTGGGACGAGTTGGATCGACGCGTTCGCAGAAGGAATCCACCGCCCCAAACACTTCCGGCGCTTCTTGATGCACTTCAGCATGAATGGCAGCACATCCAACAGCGTGTTATTGACAACTTGATTGCATCTATTGGTCGTCGGTGTCAAGCGGTGATTGATGCACGTGGTGGGCACAACCGATACTGACATTTTCTGTACCCCTGTGACATTAACTGTATCGTGTACGTGTGTCTGACTAGGTGACACGATTAATGTTTTGATCATTGTGTACATTGATCTTCAAACAGTGTTTCAATTATGGTTTCTGTGTCCTATTTTGAAACAATCGCATTATATTACATTTTGAAAGTCAGTGTCAAGTTTCTGCTTTTGAAGAGTATATATAGAAAGGTGTTCTTTTATTGCCCTTTGCGGTACCCAGGAATAACTCCTACATTACGGCGGTGTCCTGCAAAAAATTGAGTTTGGATCAGACAATCGAGTGATCGGTATCATGATCATTGATCCACGTCGACAGGGTACCACGCAAAGCTATCATTGAAATCACCAAACTTGACCACCCGATCCAAAACAGTAAATGCTAGCGACTCCTGAGAGTTTCTAGTGCTTCCTTCCTGCCTCACACAGAAGCGCACATATGGGGTCACCTAATGTAAGTGACTTTACTCGCAATATGCCCCTGTTCATCTATCAGTAGAAATGTGTACCCGGTAGGATGAGAATGTATTAACTTTCAACCGCCCGACAAGGCAGCTTTGGCTGTTTACTCCCTAGGCAGAAGAGCATGAAAATCCGAGATCACTCTGATCCATCGACCAGGGAAATGTGAGGCTAGTACACACACGTCATACTTTGTAAAATCCTCTGAAGGTCTACCACCAAAATTTGGAATAACTACACCAAATGTTTGGTTAGGAAACATTTACGGGCAAGCCTTGAAATTTAAATGAAAAGTTCATACTCTTTAGTATCAAAGCAGCTGAGAAATGTAGACTCCATAAGCTGAAGCTGATGGTACATAGCTCGACAAGGGGGAATTCACGACGGGAAAATCGAAATCCTACAGCTTGTCATTCAGCTTGGTACAGAGGTTTTCATCATTTTGCATTTCTATGAATAGCAACAGACAAGAAACTGATTATGGTTTCTTTTCTTTTCTTTGATTTTCAACTCTGGTGAAAATACTCATTTATCGTGACATTATTGAAACAAATGAGACAATGTGAACATCTGAAATTGAGGCTGAATTTGGCAACATGTTCGTTCTTTGATTTCACTGATGTAGCCACATGTACGATTTGTGTGCAAAGAGAAACATGTCAGACAGGAGAGGGACACAGTTTGTACCTCTGGGGGATAGCATCACTTGTCTAAACGTACATCCCCAAATATGTCAAGGATATTGTCAATCAGGAAATCCAGCATCTCACATATTTGGGTAACTGAATATTTGTAGAGTTTCTTTCAGTTTTAGCAAATTGACCACAGACATTACAAATGTTTATAAAATTAATGTGTCGAACTCCTTTCCCTTATAAACAAACAACCTATTTTTAGAGGCTGTAATTTCTAACGTTTGTTTCAATTTACAGAATTGACGGATTTATTAATGAGGATTGAAAGTACTGACGGTATAAATACAAATATTGAATTACACCTTTGCTAAATATTCATAGAGACTAATTATTTTCAAGCAAATGAGTGAGTTGGTTAATATTGAAAGTCATATCGGCAATATTTCAACCAAATCGTGACGATTCAAGCAAATGAAGAAGTTTGAAATTAACATCTGGCGACGTAGGACACTACACTGTTTCAATAAATTGATTCAAGAGCCACATGATAGCTGTGGCGGCATTGTCACAAGTACACGAATGGACCAGGATGTGAGTGAGTTTAGTTCATGCAGCTTTGAAAAGAAGCGACACAAACAAGTCCACAGCGAATTGCTGCACCGTATACTTTTACCAGGAAGTATGCTGTGTTCAAACTGATTGGTTGGTGCAGCATAACACTTCAATGCACTAAAATGCATTTACCTGTGCGTATTCTGATTGGTTTATTTATGTAAATATTGCTTATGACATATTGTACAAACAAATATAAATGATCACAGTTGGTGCCCGAGGAGACAGTTTGCAGAACTACGAAAGGAGAATGTAAGTATCTGGACACCTATCTTAAGTAGTGTGTTAGGTAACTAGATGTTTTCCACACTGAATGTATACTGGTAATTGTCGCTTTTCATGATCTGATGTAATACATAGCTGGACATGTTCGCATTGTATGTTGATTTACATACAAAGCTTTATTCACTATTTATTTTTAAGAACGTGGGTACAAGGATATGTGTTCAAGTGGTGATAATCAAAGAGTTCATAAGTAAACTTATAGTACAATAGGTTGAAACTCGAGCTTTTACTATCTGACAACTGAAATGAACCAGCAACCCTTGTTTGTTGTAAAAAACGACTATCCTTGTCGTAAGAGGCAACCAACGGAATCGGGTGGTCAGACTCGCTGACTTGGTTGATCCATGTCACCGTATCCCAATTGCGTGGATGGATGCTCATGATGTCAATCACTGGATTGTCTCGATTATTTACAGACCGCCGTCATTTTGCTGGACATGGTGTTATTTATTAATAACACGACCTGTAATGAACACTTCAACGTATTTCGTTCATACAAACCTAGCATCAATGCATCAATTAATATGTATATTATTCTGCAGTCTTAGACTCTAATGAAATTAAATTATATTACTTACAAAAGCTTATTCGACTTTGATATAATTACGAATGCTGATATTTGCAATAAATAACTGTTTTCCAACCTTGGTCGGTGGGCAGTTTCATTTAATGGTATCAGCAAGGAAGGACATTAGTTGAGGTTCTTTAAAATGTTCGAGGAACAGATGGGAGAATATGTTAGGTTGAAAACTTGAGAGAGTTTATAACAGTTTTAGGGATGTCAGTATTCTTTAGATTTGGACGCTTCCCTGACCAAGAAGATGACGTCATCTCACGTGTCATTGCATCATGATACAAAGGCGTTTTCCTTCTAAGGTTCCACGTGTTACGCGTGGATTTTGTGAGCATTCTATTGACGACGAACTACCTTTTAAGTGCAAATAGCGAAATAATTAACGTTAATTATCCACGAGTAACTTCATAATGGGCTGCCTACTCAAATATTAACGATTTATGATAATTTGACATCTGAATGAACGAATAAAATAGTGTCGATGTTGAATTAGGGGACAAGTCTTTTGCGTTTTCAGTTTCGATATGACACCTGTAAATTTCATTCGAAAATATCATTCATCCGCCGTAAGAGATTCCATTTGGCGTAAAAGACAAAACAGTGGTGACAATTATATGAATAGATCACTGAAAATCAGCAATATTTTTCTGCTGTAACGGTAGCACACACCACTCAAACAACTGGCATAGAAAATGTAGGTGTTTTGTTGGTTGCCTAGAGCTGCACAGCAGTACTTCTGTCATACAACGGGCTGTAAATATTCGAGTTGTGCTTACATAGTGATAGATAAACACATGCTTATAATATACACAGTAAAAAAAGTGTTGCACCCCCTATACTTTTTCATGGAGGGGTGTTTTGAAAGGGTGTAAAGATAACCGAATTAATATTATAACCAGGATTTCGTGTATACCAACAAACCAGTGTATTGTCTATACAATGAACTTAAATGGGGTATTCCATGACCTTATGGCATGTAATAATCTCATGCTGAACTTTTACGAAAAATGAACGAACAACGAAGACGCATTAAGTATGGTGACATCTCAATAATTTTTAGTGACCAAATTCATCCAATAGGGTAAGAATGTCATATGGAGATTTGACGAACACAGTAAGTCAATATCGAGAACTTCCACCAAGCACTTGGATCACAGCTTGAAGTCTTCGTCTCATACTCCTCACCAGACGTTGGAATCGCTCCATGGGCAGCTGCTGCCACTCCTCGTGTAATGCGGCTTCCAATTCACGCAAGTTCTGTGGAGGAGGGTCCCGACGATAAATCAGGCGTCCCAAAATGTCCCATACATGTTCCAGAGGATTCAGATCTGAACTCATTGCTGGCCATGGAATCTGCGTCAGAGCATTGTTGTGGATAACCTGGGTCACAGCTCGTGAACGATGTGGTCTGGCATTGTCATCCATGAATATCGGTCTGGTGGCCAGTGGATGATTGTCAAAATGGGGCACCACAACTGGATTCAGCACCTCTTGGATGTAGCGCTCCCCTGTCAAGTTGCCTCGTATGGTCACTAAATCAAGCTTACAATCAAATGAGAAGCATCCCCAGACCATAACAGATCCACCTCCATATGGTACAGTTGGCATGATGTTTCTTGCAGTATAAGCTGTTCCAGGACGCCTCCATACTCTCACTCTGCCATCCACAACATGCAGAAGGAACCTGCTTTCGTCCGACCAGTGGACTCTTCTCCAGGACCTCAAGTTCCAGTTCTGTCTCAGTCTACACCAGGCTAGACGTAGTCGTTTGTGGTTGTCTGTGAGTTTAGGTCGCTTGATAACCCTTCTGGACTTCAACCCTGCAGCTTAAGACGATTTCTCACGGTCTGGGTACTGAACTGTTGACGAGGAAGCCAAAGACGTTTCAAGGTTGTGCTTGTAGCAAATGGATGACGCCTTACCACCCTCAACAACGCTCTGTCATCTCTAACTGTGGTCTTACGTGGTCTGCCAGAGGGTCTGCGATTCCTTACATCATTAGTTTGTGCGTGTTTTCTGACCAAACGGCTTATTGTTGAGTAGTGATGTCCGGTTCTTCTGCCAATCTCCTTGAACGAAAGACCTGCTCCATGAAGGCCAATAATCTGCCACTTGACTGCTTCTACCCGGCATTGTGGGTTACAATAAACTGGGCTGTCAGAGAACATCTTTTATAGGCGATGTTGAGCTTAAGAAGATACTGCAATCTGCAAATGTCATGCACCATGCAATTCACGTGCTGATTGCTACGTTTTGGTGATCATCTTCCCTCCGAAAACATTACACATTTAACATCAGATCCCCAAGGAATACCTACCATTAAAACCAGAGTGGGGCGTTTTAAATGTTGTGATGTATCAAACGTATTAATGTGGGGGTGCAACACTTTTTTTACTGTGTATATAACCGGAACAGTACGATATACTCGGAGTTTAGCAGACATTTGATAAGATGATGCAGTAGGTTTTGTCGCTTTTGTCGCCTCCGCAATTTCGCAGCTATTCGTGGCGGTTGCTATGTATGACATGAGTTGGGGATAGCCTATCACAATTCTGAATATTGATAGAAATATAGCAAATACAGAACGTTTTACCCAGATTGAGAGAGTGAAACAAATGCCTGTTTCTACAATTATTGGCTATATTAAAACATTAAGAAGGCATCTTACCAGATCGACTACCAACCAGCAGCATATCCTTCAGACGCCCATACAATGTACATCCAGACTCGTCATATACACTTTGAGAATGAAAACTGTATGGTTGTACTGTTGACAACTGAGCAACTGACAACTCAGCGCACGACTCCCCACATTAGTAATCGTTCTATTCAAGTCGCTTTCTTTGTACCATGCAAAGACTTTTATGTCACCTTTTCACAAACTTTCAAACTGCATTGACAAAGACAGCAATCGGGTAAAATGGAATGCACAGGAACACTAGTAATACATGTTTGTTCATTGAAACGAGTGAGTGATTATGGTTTTACGCCGCATTTAGCAATATTCCAGTAACATCACGGCGGGGGACACCAGAAATAGGCTTCACACATTGTACCAATGTGGGAATCGAACACGGGTCTTCGGCGTGACGAGCGAACGCTTTAACCACTAGACTACCCCACCGCCCCGAATAATCGAGGAGGAACATGGACCAAGCGTTCAGTAAAGAGAGGTTATCACGCGTGTATGTTTGAGGATGGTAAATATCCTAGCTGTATAATGAATAAACATTGTATCTAGCGAGCCATGGCGAGCTAAGTACACATAGTGTATAAGAGCATTATCTATCATATAAAAAGTCATTAATGTGAGTTTGTAAATCTTTTTCCTGTGATGTTTTTCCAAACCCAAATTTGTAAGTTTTTTCCTGTAAATTTTCTTATGGTCACCGATACAAATACTTCACCTACTGATCAAACGGTACACTGGTTACAGCACAGTAAGAGTTAAATACCTGGTTGATGCATGTCATCGTATCCAAGTTGCGTGGATCGATGTTCATGATGTCAATCACTGGATTATCTGGTCCAGACTCAATGTATTTACAGACCCGTCATATAGCTGGACTATTGCTGAGTGTGGCGTTAATCAACAAACAAATATTATTTTTGGCAGTGCGTGCATCTCGAACCAGGGATAAAATTGCGCCATCTTTTGTCAGGGTTCTGATGTCAGTACTCAAATGGTTGAATTACAGATAACTTGATATAAGGTCACAGAAGAAGCAGAAATAAGGCCACGACTGAGCTGATGGCATGGCCAAATCACGGCAAATGTCAAATAGATATGTGAAAAATAACCCTAAATGTCAATGAACGTTAATTATATAATTGACATTATATGTGGCGTGTTGACAATTAACATGGAATCAAACACACATACTGAGTTAGAACTGGCACTGTCTTCACCACATTTACAGGACGAACTGAAAAGCCGTGCAGAGGTGTAGCGTTTAAGCCCTCTTGACCTAGTTCGTGATGCACGCGATATCCGCTCGCAGACTACCGTTTGTAATCACGTGATCAAAACAAAATGGCTATTTCCAGAAAAAGCGCTGCTTTCACTGTAAGTAATATTCCTTGTCGTCTGAATCGCTTTGCACTTATCAAGTATAAACACATATGCAGCTATCTTCGTTAACTAATATTAGCGATATTTTGTAATTCTATTTCAAGCATTAAAGGAGAAGGCAAGTGATAATGCCTGATTTCTCTGTGTAACGCTGGATTCTGTCGGATGTAGTTCGTTTGTCATGATGGCGTTTTTGTGGACAAATTGCTTAGCGGAAATCAAGTGTACACTTGAATTTGTATATCGACCGCTGCGAATTACTTTTGTGTCTGCAGACATAATCGAATCGCAGCTAGTGTACTTTTGTCATGATCTGAGTCGCTCGTAAAATCTCTTCCTTTATCCACACATCGACCCATGTATGCTTGCCGTAAACGGCGACTATGCCTGTCGTAAAATGCGACTAACGGGATCGGTTGGTCAGGCTCGCTGACTTGGTTGATGCATGTCATCGATCCCAATTGCGTGGATAGATGCTCATGATGACCTTGGCTTCTCTTAAATTGTTAGACTGAGGAAGCTGAACTTTGCTGTGTGTTTTTCCTTATGATGAGTCTTCATGATTTCTTCAGATCATTAGGATATTAGTTGATTTTTATGCAGATTTGTTAATATTAATGCTGGCAGTGTTTCTTAAGTAGGTATCTTTGTTGACAACTTAAACTGTTGACTACATGTCCAGGTGAGCTACACTGTCATGGCACTCTTTTATGTATTTGAAAAAATACTTTGACAATCTCCATCAGCAGGGTTAGAACTAAACTCAAAAGCTTCACTAACCTAGGTAAAGTTAAAATGCCCTTGTACTGTGAAGACAATGGGGAAATTTGTACCAGCCCAGAGTAATTTGTACTAGCCCAGGGCTAGCGGGCTTGTGTTAAATTCTAAAACTGTCCTTCAGTATGAAAAGTCAGAAAAAGCTGAGACTTTATGAACTGAAATGATAAATCTAAAGTGCAATGTGACAATTATCAAGCAGTGTTCTGCTGAGGCTGTGGCCTCACAGGATTCTCGCAATAATGTATTTATTAATTGGTCATAGGGATCATCAAGTACAATCATATAGATTATTTTATTTGGTATAATTATGTGTCAAAAATATTTTACGTAACCCAAACAGTTACATGTGCTTCATTTATTTAATGTAAACGCCCTGATTTTCTTTGCTTTATTTGTCTCAATTTACTATCAGAGCCTTTCATTGGCTGAAAGTCACAAATGATCCTAACAGAAGTGTACTTACACATTTTTAAGTTTAGTTATCATAGTTCTGAGGGGCGGTCGGGTAGCCTAGTGGTTTAATCGTGACGCCGAAGACCTGGGTTCCATTCCTGATATGGGTACTCTACCGTACAATGTGTGAAGCCCATTTCTGGTGTCCCCCGCCATGATATTGCTGGAATATTGCTAAAAGCAATACTCACTCGCTTTTATAGTTCTGATGATGCTAAAGATGAATCTGCATCAAATAACCTGTTTCTCAGAATTGCCAACCCCAAGTTATGTTTGCAAATGCGATGTGCAGAGCTACAGATAAGCAGTGTATTTGCGTAAAATACCCCCCCAAAATATTCAAAATCCAATTACTATAATTTAACTTGCGTACAGAACTCATGCATTAAACATGTTAAATAAAAAACTCAAATGTATAAAAACAGCACGAGTAAATAACCAATGAAGCTTTTTCAGCATGCCGACAAAGGAGCTAATTTCCGACACACAATTATGAGCTATTTTATTAAATGAGTCAAGCCTATATATTTAGAACAGTTATATACATCTAAAACATAATTTCATATTTTTAAATCTGAAAATTAATGTTCACTAATTTTGGGAAAAACCCAATTGAGTGATCAGATGAATAGATGAGTGAAAAAATATTGATTAACCAAAATGAATGAAAAAGGTTATTACCCAAATTAAATTGAAACATTGAGTTAAAACTCAATTTCTCCAAAACGTGTTGTGAGCTCTATATGTGTATTATCCTGAATTTCATATCGCAATTTATTGCAGTTATCATGATATAAAATTTATACTATGTTTTCATATGATAATTAGATCCACAGCAAGGGATTTTAAAAGTTATCATTGTGTAACATTTATACAAAATTTCATATAATTATGGAGCGGCGAGAAGTACATATTAATCAAGGAAAAATGCAGATACAAAATATTAGTAGTTTCAGTTATAGCTTTTTAGATAGTTGCTAGCCTAAGGTCTCCCAGACATACTATTCAATAAGACAAAAGTTATGTCTACGAAGTTTAATAGATTTAAAGCTTTAAGATAAATACTAGCCTAAGGTAACAGGATTCCATCTCCCAGACAGAATATCCAATAAGAAAAAAGGTACATCATGTACAAAGTCTTGTAAATAAAATTGTGATTAGTTTCCTGTGACTCCAGCTCTTTGCTGACTAATTCCTCCAAGAAAACCATTTGGTAGGTTTTGTGCCTCAGACCATCACCATAGCTGAGGGTGCCACAGAGACAATGTATACGTACATGTACCTAAATATATTAGGCATGTTTTGTTTTCAAAAACTGTGGGGACAGTATTCACACTGGAAGTTTATGCAAACGACTTCAAGATATGTAGTTCTTTTCTTTGAATTCTTTAAACCTGTGGGGATTTTTGGTTGGAATTGGTCCCATACAACCTATGCTGGTTGTAATAGGTGACTTATGGATCAGGTTGTGAGGCTTGGATTGTCTGATCTATGCATCATATAGCTGGAGTGTTACGTGTAAACAACAAACCCACACATACACTGCTTTGACATTCTACTGCAAAAAAGATCCAGAGACAGGAAGGCTGGGGGTTTGATCCCTGACCATGTCATACCAAAAGATGTTAAAAATTTTTACTTTTTGTTACCCCGCCTGGCTCTTGGCATTTATAGGTTTAGACACGGACTGGTTGGCTCAGAGCCCATATACTATGTCTGAGTGGGGTATTCATGTTTAACTGCGGCATGATATCTCACTGGGCATAACCGTAGACAGGCCTCAAAGTTGCGACTAAAGGGAGGTACAAAAGTATTAATTAACCACAATTCTCCTGAACCTGCAGAATATTGAGTATATTGTTGCAATGGACAACAGTTACATTTATATCATTGGATATCATTCCAAATCAGTTGTAAACCACTGTTTGTATTGTTTGTCTTGACGATTATGCTAATTTTATATTTATATACTTATCATATGTCATACGTTATATGCCCACCCGTCCATCTCTGCATCATGATTCCCTTAGCCTACAAGTTTTAGAAATAGAATGAGCTGAAACGTTAGAAATTCAGTGGTTAAGGTATCATAAGGACTTGTAGAAAGTTGTCCATTTTCAAGGGTTTTGCTATTTGTTATCATTATGAGGACTAGTGGACTAAACATGTTAGTTTCTACCACTGAGCTGTCTGGGGAAATCACTTGTCCAGCGTGTGTTCAATCAGCATGCAGAATGTGTGTGACCCAGATTGTTGGGAGGTGACCATGGCGATGTGAAGTATGTTCAGGTGAATTGTTTTTTTCACAAGCTTGAAACTTATTGTTTAAGCACAATTTTCTCTTAAGTGTGAGATAGGATAAGAACATAGATCTACAATATATTGTAAAAAATTTCAATATTTTTTTGCATAAATAAAGATTAAAAGCTAGTGATACATTTTCATTTCATATGATATTTCAGGTCTGGAAGTGTGCTGAAGCTGTTAAGCTTCATCAGCCTACTGTTTGATTTGACAGTAACTCAAGTTCTCTCAGGTAGGTTAACTATCTTTCTTCAGTGTCATCTTCACAAACATTTCTGCATTACGTTTTATCAGTTTTTGACTGTAATGTACACAAAACTGTGGTTACTCCTCTCAAACCAAACAGTTTGACACCGCTGCAGAGACATGGGTAATTTTGAGCAAGCGTTGTTATCATGAGTTATAACTTTCTATAATGTATATCGTATTCATATCGATGGAATATTCAGTGTTTCCTCGCTATCAGGATCTTCAAAATAGCGCTAACTCGGTTATAGCCTGCGGTAAAGCATGGCTCCCAAAATTTACTAACATAAACTCAAATTTTGCAGACACAATGTTTTCCCCCATCTCAGAAAACATTATCAGCTGATCACCGCGATCACGTAACACCGGAAATACCAGTCAACAAAAAGGCTGAACTGAAGTACACAATTTCATCCTATAATAATATCTAGTTAAAAAACAAATTGTTCATTGTTTATCTGGACTAATGTTTGCATTATATTTTATTAATTATATTCAAAAAATCATTCAATCACTATAATAATGTTTACAATAATTTTGGCGAAATTGTATGCAAAGTGATCGGTTAATCGCACAACTCACCGTTATTTACAGTAACCATGGTCAGATTACCGCTATTGACGCCTTGAAACGAACTTTACTTGCAAGAGAATTGATACACATATCATAAATGCCGTACCATGACTCGCTAAAAGTCATATATGAGGCAGTTTGACTATTAAATGTCAACATAACGTTTTCGCAAAATGAAGTACATGTAGCTTGGGAAGTCCGTACGGTGACTGGTCAAATTGTTCCATACGTAAAAAATATACTGCATACAACCTGTACCAACGTGATATACTTATGATTCTTTAAATTTAAAGTAAATATATAGTGGAAGCTCCAACTAAAATTACACAATATTGGAATATATTATTCCTGACAAAATAAGAATTTCATATTCAATTTCTTCCGACCATTGCATCAAAATCCTTTGAAGTATCATTGAGTACTTTTTAACTGAATCACTGGTAGATTGGGAGGAAACGTGTGCAAAGCTGATTGCTATTTCCGGCTAAGTTTATGAGAAAATATACACGGTGATGTTAAGGTGAGGTGAGGTGAAATTGGGTTTAATGTCGTGTCCAAGATTATTGCACTTATATAGCGACGTGCATGCATGTATGTGTGTGTGTGTGGCTCCTTGTACTAGTCCGGACTGATGCCGATGTATAGTGCTAACTCACTGAGATACCATGCTGCAGTTTAACATGAATACCCCACTCAGACAAAGTATACTGACTCCCAGCCGACCAGTCCTTGTTTTTGCCCTTTAATGCAGAGCCCCAGGCAGGATAACAACAAGTACAATCTTTTAACGTATTTTGGTATAACGGGACCGGGGATCGAACTCCGGACCTTCCACTCTCTCCCACAAGACCACAGAGGCAGTCCACGGTAATCTTAATCTCTGCATATAAAACAATGCCTTGGAGAGCAGGAAATACATTTTAAATGGTAAATCATCATGTCTAGTGATAATTTATATCAAATTTCATGCTGTTATTGACCAAGTTTGTTATACCTGTTTATTCACCTGAATTCGCTGAAGAGATACGATGTGTTTCTTTGAAAGTGCATATTAATACTCGATAAATCTTTTTTTACACTATGAATCATAAACAACTTCTATTCTAATCTTTTTTAAACTCTGAAACGTGCAACATAGATTATGTTAGGTAGGCAGAGCATGTATACTGTTTTGTTGGTCATCTACCACCTACAACTCGACCTTAGTTAAACTGCTGATCATCTAGAACGCTCATCAATTATTTGGACCCCGAAGGTAGCGTTGTAGCAAGGGGTCACTGTATGTTTTTCAGTGAACTTAATGAGACAAGCTCCCGTTTGTCAAATAAGTTTCGTTCAAAGCTTATTTACTGTGGGGACTCTTTCCGTATCTTTGACTGAGCTAGACAGGGTTTGCCCTGACACAGAAAACTTGTGCATTTGACGCAACCTAAGTAGAAAATATGCAATATAATTTCTCTATTGCGTTAGTCATGACACACATCATTCAGACAATCAAAATCATCTAACTGCACAATGCTTTTGGAATATTAAGATTTGAAATGCACATATCCCTTGACAATAAAGTATGACCAGTATTAGCTGTGTCTAAAGCGGAAAAAACTAATGTCTAAAAATAGAACAGTCTCACCGCAGGATTAGAGAAACAATATATTTTTTAAGAATATTTTCAAGTGTTAGATATTTTTCGATTCATCAATTCATTTCGAATCTAACATAATGTATGTTGGTTAAAATGAAATACCTGTGACTCCCTGCAGTACAGATACGTTTTAAAGGCCTAGGGCAAACCCTGGCTTTAGTAGATTATATCATGGACGCTTGGTCCAAGACAAAAGTTCTTATTGAAAGACTTGAAAATGCTTGTTAGTGCTAAGACTATCATAAGCCTACCGGTATGTTAAAGTCGTTACGATCATCTTAGCTCTAAGATCGCTTTGTGCAAGTGGACCCAGGTGATGAATTTTACTTCATTATGTTTTGTTTAATAGTGATGGTCTGAGCCTTTTTGATGCCATGATTCTTGAATTAATACAAATAAAAAAGTGAGTCATATACTCTAGATCTGTTCTAATGATTCGTGTGTCCTGCGATAGATCAAAGGCTAATGCGGCAATTCACAAACTCAAGTGAATAATGTCATTAATTCATGGAGTTTGGAGAGGCAAGCATACCTAGTCAATTAGGGCTGGGACGAGTCCAAATTTACTACCAAGGTACCCACCCCACTATTACCCGACCCTACTCGAGTACTTGATATGTCCAAAGCAGAAAAGTTTTTTTTTATTGTGTCCCAGTGGACGCTCAATAACATTCATTGTACATACAGCTACACCGCATCAAGAGCAGTTATAAGTGTCTGTTGTTTCATACAACCGCCTCCATGGTCTTGTGGTAGAGCGTCCGCTTGGAGAGCGGAAGGTCCAGGGTTCGATCCCCGGCCGCGTCATACCAAAAGACGTTAAAAGATGGTACTTGTTGTTACCCAGCCTGGCTCTCGCCATTAAGGTTGTCTTAAAACAAGAACTGGTCAGCTCAGAGTCAGTATAGTATGTACTGTGTACGGACTAGTACCAGCAGCCACATAAACACACACACAAACACACACACGTACATGCACGTCGCTATATAAGTGCAATAATCTTGGGACGCGACGTTAAACCCGATTTCACCTCACCTCACCAGTTTCATCCATCAATCATGACCACTGTGCACATTTCAGTCTCTGTTAAGTAATTATCTGGGATGATTGGGAAAAGGAGATCTCTTCTTTGCCCCTGTCACTCAATCAGAAAAACATGATATTTCACTCGACACATGGATTATCCTATTTATTATGAACTTTTTGTCTTCTTGAAAATTAAATTATTTCATTATGCTTAATCCACTAACGAAGTATGATGTCTTCCAAAACAAACACCTTCCGCAACATGTCACATCCTGTAAATCTTGAATTTAATGCAAGTGTGAATTAAATCTGTAAATTGTGAGTGGTCTTTGCTCACATTATTAAACATCGTATATTTGTATCAACAATAATCATTTTGGATAGAAGAAATACCATCTTAGACATACGCTGAAAACAAACATGTATGTATCCCACACCACTGTTTATAGAGCAGCATGTGTGACAAGTATATAAACAATGTCAATCAAACATTAATTTCATCCTGTCAAAAGCCGACACGAGCCAGCGGGCTTGGACAGGCTTCATCAAACTAATTTTTAGATCGACAGCCTTTGTTTTGTCAACCGCCTTCAAGTTTGTTGACACTTTCAACAGAATAAACACAAAAAGTATCTGTTTTTCTAAGGAAAACACTAAATATTGTTTTAGATGAAGTACTCTACTCAGCGCTAATAAGCGGTTCTAATTGGTGTATGATTAGATGAAGGTGAGGATTCCCCTGTAAACCTGACAGAAGAAATTTTCTATATATAATATATATATATACTGAACAACAAAAGTTCCTGTGACATTGAATAAGATTTAATGCAAAGTTATGTTTTTTACCAAATCTGAAACAATTACGGTTTGCAACAGATAAAAGACTCCTGTAAGTGTTTAAATGGTTTAGTTTGCCATACTGACTTCAGAAAATGTGTGATTTCATAAAAAAACATGCACATGCCAAAATGTCAATTTACAAATCAATAGCCTGTGTGTCCACCTTTGGTTGCGATGCAAGCAGCACATATTTGTCTCATGGAATGGACCAGGCGTCGAACAAAGTCCTGTGGGATATCTGTCCATATCTGCTGGAGCATGTTTCGAAATTCCTGGAGTGTCTGTGGAACACGTGGTTGACGTCGAAGGCGCCGATCCATCTCATCCCACATGTGCTTGATTGGTGAGAGATCAGGGGAGCAAGCCGGCCAGGGGATGACATTCACATTGTTTTGTTGAAGGGAATCCTGAACAAGTCGAACAATATGAGGCCGGGCGCTGTCATGTTGAAAGGTAATGCCTGGGCCATGACGACGCAAAAATGGTAGAACAACAGGGCCGATGATCTCGTCGTGGTAGCGCTGTCCATTGAGATTTCCCTCTACCACTATCAAACGGGTCTTCTGTCTTGCTGTAATCCCACCCCATACCATAACGCTGCCGCCCCTGAACCGATCTTCTTCCATGACACAATGATTGAAGTAACGTTCACCTTGACATCGGTACACTCAAATCCGTCCATCGCTGTAGCTGAGCTGAAAACAAGACTCGTCTGTGAATAGAACTTTTCCCCACTGCATGGCCATCCAGCATGGAAGCTGTCTGCACTACACCAAATGGTGTTTCTGTGGACGTTAAATTGTCTTGGAACATCATGTTGACTCGATCCTGCTTCAAGCATACCAATGGCTCATGTTTTTATACCCATTCTTGGGTAGTGAAATGTATGGGACTTGTATAAAAGT